GTCGCGTGGCGACGGGGGAAAGGGGAGTCGAAAAAAATAATATTAAGGAAATGATAAAACTCAGCTAGTAAAGCTACTTTTGGTGCCACGTGCGCTGGACGACCCGATGACCGGCATGCTTGTGTTTGTGACAGTGAGAGCGGCTACAGCTGTCTGCGGTTGTACCAGCGCGACCAGCACGTCATGGAGCTGCAACGTTCCGGTGAGTATGTCGCACATGATGCCGTGTCGCCCACCGCGGACGGGGATAGAGTGCTCCTCTAATATCGGTACGCTAAATTGCCTCTACCCCGCACAGCGCAAACGTCGAGCCCGGAGGAAGCCTGTCGATCGGACAACTTCGACCCGCTGTCTGAGCGCTACACCACATTCATAAGTGAGTACTTGCACCTCTCTGCACTGCACTCGGGGCGGACGGCGCCGCAGGTCGCAGTTAATTGAAAGCGCGAGTGAATCATTGAGCGCCTCGCCTCGCCTCGCCGCGCTCGAGGCCGCGCTGGCTGCCCCGGTGGCGCGACGCGACGCGCCCGCGACGCGCTGACCCGCCGCACGGCCGCGCGCGATGGGCTGCCCGCCTGGCAGGCGCTTGCGCGCTTGCGCCACTCGCGCCCCGGAATGTGAATAAACCAGAAGGGCCCTGCCCTGCCTGCCTGTGACGTCCCGGCCAGTCGTGGCCACGCGGCCCGCACTCTCGCGCCTGGGCCTGGACGACGGCAAAAAGGTTTTGAACCGGCGCCCGTTCAGCTCTGTTCAGCTCGGTCGCAGAGGGGATGATGAGCCCTGCCTGGCTGGATGCAGCCGTCGTTTATTTGATATCGGAAGCCGATATACGACTTGGCTCGCGCCACTACTTTTCTATAAAGTCCCTGAGTCGTCTTTAATATTTCATGTTCATTTTTTTTTTAAATGTCCTTTTTGTTGCTGCTCATCCTCCTACCCCGTTGTAACCGAACCTCTGCCCTTTTTACAGCCGCCGAGCCGCAGCACCGCCAGTGCCCGTACTCCGGCCGCTACGCCGTCACCAACTACCTGGGCAGCGACATCGTGTGCAGCACGCACCCCAACCGGCCGACGCACATCGAGGACAACGCCATCGACGGGCTGCTGCAGCACCGCGTGCCGCGGCCCGGGGCGCAGTCCTTCGCCGTGGGCTGCGGCGCCGAGCACACCATGGAGTTCCACTCGCACTGCGAGGCCGACAGGGTCACCGGTAGGTGCTCATCACGGGGGGTCTTGGGTGACGGGGGGCCATTGTTGCTTTTTGGGACTGACGGCTGACCGCGGTCCACAGCGTACACGTGCCACGGCAGCTGGAGCGACAACGGGACGAGGTTCGCCATCGCGCTGCCCGTCGCGCTGCCGGTGAGCTGGGCCGTGGACTCGGCCGCCTCCTCGCTGCACGGGCCCGCGGGCGCCGCGGCGCTGCACGGCGACGACGACGTCGGCGTCCGCAGGCTGTGCTTCGTGTACCGCGAGCTGGCCTCGGACGACATCTCCGGCGTCCTGGAGACGCCGTCGGCGCCGCCCGGCGCGCCCAGCAGCCGCCAGCCCGCCGTGGTGATCCAGTCGCGGGTGGGCGAGGAGTGCCACCGCCACCACCTGCACGCCGACCCGCGCGACCTGCCCCGGCAGCAGAGCAGCACCCAGGAGGGCGTCGCGGAACCCGGCCCGGCCGAGACCGTGTTCCTGGCCTTCGACCTGACGCCCAAAGGTATCTGGAAGTTTTCCACCGGCAGCCGGACGCACGGACGCGCTTTCCCTCACGACCTAGACCCGGATTTTACGAGTTTGTTATTTTGTCTCCGCAGGCCACTGCGCGAGCTCCGCCGTGCGAGGGCCGTCCCCGGCGCCGCTGGCGGCCCTGCTGGTGCTGTGCCTGGTGCCGCTGCTCCCGCGGCTGAGCCGGGTGACCCAATCCAACGCCGTCAGATGATACCTCGCCGGCCCGTTGGCGGCCTTTGTGTGAATGATACGGGGCCAGCGTGTGTCGACGGCGCCGCTCCGGGCACGTCAGCCTGAGCTAGAACGAGACCCCGACCCGCGAGTGGGTCCCTGCGCACCGTTACAGTCTGAAAGCTCATACGGGGTGCGAGACATGTCCAGCCATGTGTCTGATCGCCGTCAATAAGACATCCGCGATTCCAACCACCGTACCTATTGTGTGTGTAACTTTTTGAATGGATCATTTGGTTCCGGACGCGGTTGCGCGGCGGCTGGGCTGGGCAGTGGTTGAACACGCCAGCGGGTGGCCGTGCCGGGGTGGGCCCCGGCCGATGCGATGGATGGCGCCGGGGCATGCAGGGGGACAGGGGACAGGCCGGGCCTTTCAGCCCCTATTGTCAGGAGCAGGCTCGCTGCCAGAGGGGCGCCCGCCCCGCCCGCCCCACCTCCTCGCGCCCAACCCCGA